TAAAGGTATTCTTTGATATTATGCATTGTTTTATCTATAATCGGACTTGGGCTGATTGTTGCATAATCAAGCAACAATCGGAATAGATAGGATTGTTGAATTTCTCAATCACTGAAAATCGATTGCCGAGAAATAAATAAATACATAAGTTGATACACTGAACCAAAGAAAAGTTAAAAAACAATGCTCTGCATATCATGAAGCACATCCTTTTCATTACAGACTATACATTAGCAGCACCCAATGCACAGAGCTAATTCACACTGTGTTTTTGCTGGAGATCTGTGAGAACTTTTCCTGTGAAGTTCTCGGGGTGATACTCTATGTGGCTCCCTGTTAGTACTGCACTGTGTATTAGCTCATTGTTTGGGGGAGATCATAAGAGTGCATGACAACAGAGTGACTGGAAATTTGGAATGTTCCATTACTTTTCAATAGGGGGTGTTTTGTCAAGTGTTTGAATCTTGCATGTCACAGTTGGAGATGTCAGTAAGTTGAAAGTAGTAACCAGGTATGTACAAATATTTAAAAAGTATTGGACATCAACTTGGGGCATCTACCTTCCTCTTATCTCAGGGACCTTCATCTGGCTCCATTTTTCTGCCAGTGGGTTTTTGGTGGGGTACCTGATTCTTTGTAGTTACAGGCTGTAGCCATGTGCCAACATTGTTCCTTGACTACCCTTGTATCCCATCTTTTCCAAGCTCCTCCTTTTATAGTTGTTATCTTCCATCCTCCCAACTCCTTTCTGCTCCCTGTTCTTCTATTTCTTTCCTCTTCTTCCACTGTGCATAGATTTCAGTTTCAATAGTCTTGTTTGTGTTTATCTACAGGGCTCAGACTCGATTTGTGGATCTGTGGATTCTTTTTGAGGTTGACTGTTGAGGACTACATGTTCTAACCATTTGCATTAACCCATCATTTTACCTCCCCCCCCCCTGTCTCCTGTTCCAATTCCTTTCCCTCCTACAGGGAATTGTGTCTCCCATCATCATCTCTCCAAGCTGGTGTCAGACTATTTGGCCATGGATGCTATCAGAAGGGTTTCTTTCCCTTTTCTGGGATTTCATTCCCATCTGTGTGCTGATTCCCATTACGCTGCAGATTGGCATCCAGTTGTCATCATATCTATATCCATCAGTTTACCATGAGGAGTTATCTCACCTTCCAGTTGTCTTTATCTCTGAGATTTTGGATGTTTAAGATCAATGTTTCTGATGCTTATTTTCACTTTTCCATCTCCTCAGCATCCAGGGGTGTTAGTGGTCACTTGTTGTACAGTATTATAATGATGTGCTCTTCCAGACTCCCCACTACACTTTCATACCTTTTTTTTCTTCCAGTGAAACATGGGTGTCCTTGACACTCACCAGTTCCAAACTGCTTGGGTGATAGACCTGGAGGATGTCTCTTGAGTATGACCAATTTCACTCAGTAGAGAATAGAGTAGTGGTGTTTATTCGTGTAGTACAGCTCAACCATCTGGCTAACTTTTCCCCATCCTACCACTACCTGGAAGTCAGGTTCTTGGGTGGTCTGGTGTTAGATTGGGGCAGGATCAGCCTACATAAGTCTTCATTCAGTTGCAGAGTAGATGTGACTTTCCTGTTCTTCCTTATTGGGCTTCAGATGAAGATGTTAGGGACCTTCCTCCTACTGCTGTATGGAAGCTGAATTCTCGGTGCCACCTAATTTTAGACTGGAGTTTACCTACACGTACGGTTGATGTGCCCTTGCCACACTACACATATAAAACTTTTAAAAACATGATGCAGGTTTTGGATTGTGCTTGTGTCTTCCACCCATCCTTGCAACACTTCCTTTCTGGGTGAAAAATGTACCCTGGTACAGTCAAGGTGTGGTCTCCCATTAATATACCCTTATACTGTTTCAGGAAATAGGGTGTTGTATTCCATGGGTTCTCTTCACGTCACAATGAGGTGCTTTCTAAAGGGGGCTCATATAGGTATAGGTTTGCACCAATCTCTCCACCTTTTCAACACTGGGATTCTAGCTGGATGTGAGAAGAGGTTACGTATCATATCAGAAATTAACATTTTCCAACACTGAAAATATATTTCTCATAGATACTCACTGCTTCTCACACTTCCCACTCTTCCTTCCCACTTCAGGTGATCTTATTTTTTACCTAATCTCAAAGTGTTGATTGAACAATCAGTATAGAGGGAGTCAACTGCACTAGAAGACCCAGCTACATTCCTATTGGTGGAGGGTTGTCACATGCTCATTTACATGCAACAACATAGCAATATCATGTTGAAACATGAGAGATTAGGTGGGAGCCTCTAGGCTAGTGCTGCGTGGAAATGTTCTCATGTAGAGGGCAGGAAAGCTAGATGTGAGTATCTGCTGGAAATTTATTTTCAGTGTTGGAAAATGTATACTTCTGTCTCTTTATATAGACATGTAACATAAAAAATCAAAAACAGGTTGATGATATGGTTTCCTCTTTACAAATCATTATCTTATTTAATTTTAGCTGCGGCATAGTGGCTCATAGAATGTCTCTGAGTTTTTTTGAAGTGCAAACTTTTAGCTTATAGCTCCATCTCATAATCAATTTGAGATCTAATTACAGCCATGGCTATTGAGGATTCCCTCTTGTTTCCAAAGTGTTTTTGTAGGACACCTAGTTGACTAATAGGTGTCAACTTTTCTTTCTATGATATGTAGTTGATGACTTGACCCTATTCAAGCATGATGTATGGTTGACTGTTATGGGTAACATTTCAGTTTATTTATTTGAAATACTGTTGATGATAAAAGGAAGCTGAACACCCAACAGCAATAATTTGTTTTAGTTTTTAAAGGTATCCATCAGTTATTTTACAGTTTCTGATCTCATTAGATCACAGGGATGAATATGTTCTCTGTTTACCTATCGAATATAGTATTATGCATTTTATAGTAATATCTGTAAAAAGGAGCCTTGTTCTGACTGCTTTTGGTTAAATCATCACTACATTTTAATCTGAAATGTGAAGATTCCAGAGTTTAACTGTTGAAAAAGAAGACAAAAATTGTTACATGCTAATGATGTGTAGTTGTTGTGTTGGAAAGTATTACATGATGTAGTAAGGTTACTAGATATTAATGATGTGGCTTTAGTTCTGGAAAGTAAAATGAGATGCAATAAAGTAATTAAACACTAATGATGCTTGATTTTTGTATACAGTGAAACCTTGTTAGTCAGGATATTGATAATTTGGATTATTCACAATTAGGATGATTTTTTATAAAGATAAATCTTCACAACTGGAAATTTAATAAATAATCCATTATTAATTATTATAACAGATTTGAGTGGCTACCAGAGTAATTTATGTTACAATCAAGTCAAAATGTTTCAAGACAAAAACATGGAGAAATATCAGTATCATTAAAATGTAATGTTTATTTGTACAAGAAAGCAATACATGTAATATGTATTTTGTATTATATAAGTTAAGTCATGGTTTGAGCAGAATGATAATCTGTATGAAGATAATGACATATTATGCTACTTTTATCATGGAAGTTGTGTAATTATTGATGATGTATAAAATAATAAACTGATAAGTTTATTTTACATACTTGTTTTTTGTTTACCAGTTGCATAGCCATCCTTACTAGTTTGCACCAATTCATTTACCAATAGAAAATGTATGCTATTAATAAAGTGTCTGTTGTGTTCAAAATGACTGATTCGACCAACTGAATGTCTCAAAAATCTGCAGGAACTACTTTATTACAAGTGCATTTGGATTAACAAGGTTTCACTGTATATGCTGGTAAAAAACAGGATGTAGTAAGATTATAACACCAATGACCTATAGTTTGTACATAAACAAGTATGGAACTGAAACAGAATGTAAGAAAGTTTTTGCATAATAATGGCATTTATTTTCTGTGTATGCTGAAAATTTATGAGAATGGAAGTTATTTATACTAATACTTTATTTGTGTGAGTGTGTAATAGTGTGAATGTAGTTAATGATAATATTGCAAATTAAGTCTTTTTAAACACTTACCCTTGGTAACATTGTAAGTTTTGTCTTTGAAATGTAATACATTAATTAATTTTTGTTGTCATGAATATAGTCCTTGATAACACAGTAAGTTTCAGTCATTGCAATAGTAAAATATGATTCCTGGTAAAACTGTAAATTGAGCTCTTTGAATTACCATTGTTGTAAATCTAGTTCGTGATAATATTATAAACTTGAACATTGGTAATTAATGTGAATTAGACTCTTGGTAACACTGTGATTTATAGTACAACAAAAAATCACATTTACAAAACTATAAAATGTCACAATGGACCAGAAATAAAATGCTACAGAGGATTTTATCTATAGTAACATGAAATATATTTTACTATAAATCTATTTTTGTAATGTCTTACATTTATGACTTGGTAGCATTACAAATCTGTTCCTTCAGAATACTATAGTTCTCAGTTTGATAATACTTTGAATTTGGTTTTTAATGTAACAAAACTTTTGATACTATAAATCTAGCTCTATATATTATTATAAATCTGAGTCTTCATGAAACTTAATCTGATCTTTTGTAACACTTCAAAGTTTGGTTTGTTTTACTACCATAAATTTTGTTCTGAGTAAATCTGGTCATTCCTAATAGTGTAAGTTTAGACCAGTATTATATTTTAAACTTTATTTTCATTATTAATGTAATTCTATCCAATTGTATTATGGTAAATTAGTTTTCATCTAACAAGTTGAGTAATAAACATAGATTTTAGAATTTGTAAATTGTTGGACAATGACTTGATTATAGTATGTTAGTTGCTTAATTTTAGTAGTACAAAGTTTAACATATATATGTGTGTGTGTGTATATATATATATGTCTTTCTGAAATACAAGTAAAATTATCAAATGATAAGCATGTAAGGTTGTGAAACTGGAAAAACTTTGTAAAACTTAAGTTCCAAGTCTTATGCAGAGAACCTTGTGTAATTTTTGACATTTGTTACAGTTTGATCTGGTTGGTGGATGGATTATTGCTATGGTTACTACAGCACAGTGAGTTCCATTGCTTCAGTAACGGAGCTTGAGACCTGGCTTTTACAGTTCTTTACTGCCTGAATGTCTTCCTCCAAGTATTCTGCCTTCGGTCGCTGGGGTAAGGTTCTAAGCTATTTTTCTATAGTTTAACTCTGGATTATTAGTGAAATAATACGAGGTTGACAGAGAAGGTGGAGTAATAAAGAAATGTAGGACAAAACTACTTATAAAGAAAGTTTTAGTGGTAAGTAACAAGAGATATATGTATATATATATATATAGATAATAATTCTTGCTAGCTGTTATGTAGATAGTAAAAACATATCTAACAAAAGTATTTCTTGTATTTAAGCACCTAGCCATTTGAAAGTGTGATTGTTTTATTTTCTTTGTTTTTACAGCAAGGATGTAAGGGAAAGCACTGTATATCTTCAGTTAAATGTTATATTTAGACATGTTTTTTATTGTGACTACTAAATAAATAAGTTTTATGCAGCAGTTATATGCTTATTATAGTATATAAACATAAACATAGATTTTCATCTTTTCTATAGATTACAGTAAGTAAATGTAAACATGAACAAACAAAGATGAAATAGGCAGCAACTTCCAAATTCAGCAGGACACTTATTGAGAAAGTGTTAAAGGACTAATATAGAAAAGTAGCATAGATTAGTTCTCCAAGACTCTCCACAAGTGTCACAGAGGACTAGGCAGTTGCTGCCCATTTTACCTATGTTTGTTCATCATGAAGACTGTTTAAATCAGCTGTAAAATAAAAAGATAACATAAACACAGTTTCATTTATTCTGGTGATTATGATATATAATCATCAAACAAGATTACATATATTCTGAAGAAAATTATTTGTTTTATATGTCAACAATGTGCATAACCAATCACTTTGCCCCTGGCAATTCCCTTAATTTTAAATTATACAGGTTAAAGACTTTAACACTTTTGCTGCAATTCAGCAAAGTGTGCTGTCTTTCTAGATAGGAAGGACCAATTACAGAAATTACTGTTGCAAAGTTCTCCTATTTGCAAAACACTAACTTTAGCATTTTTAAGAAAGGGATATCTGTAGTACTGAACCATGTCAGTAAAGCAAGGAAAGACATGATTACAATAGGGAAAACATAATACTAGTAACTTGGCAAAGGTATTGAAGAATGTTAAACACCTTGTTATTGGAAGTCATCAAAGAATGCAATAGTCAACTGTAGCTAAAGTAGATAATTCACACAGGTTAAGTCAACAAAAGTGTAGCAAGAATCATGTACACAATTTTTTCTCTAACACAGCTGAACAACAATCAAAAGTTGTATGAGTATTAACTATTTTGCATATAACAAATAGAAGTATATTATCATATTGGAGGAAACATATCTGTTTAAGTATCAGCAAAAGTCCAGGCATTTTATTATAGTTCTATAATTACTATAGAATTTTAAAACTAGTACAGAGCAGGTTCTAACATTTTTCAAAGGGATATATGGTGGTTGCAGACTACAGCTATAATGGTAATTCTGACACCATATCTTACCTCTGCTTGCATAATAGCTTTTCTCAACTTGTGCTGCCCTCTGTATGCACAATTTTTGCCCCCACTAGCCTTAATACTCCCTCCTACTCTCATGTGTTTACACATAGTATAGCTGCACTGTAGTATGCAAATAAGCATATGACAACCCTCCATCAATAGGAGTGTGACACACCCTCCTAGCACAACTGGTTCCCTCTATACTGTAGAGTACTTTCATCGCCTCTCAAGTTGGCATTCTAGGGTGCAGTCGTGCTTTAATTTCTCTGCAGTTTTCTTCATTTTCATGTCAAATTTTCAGTTAATTCTATTGGGCTTGACAACTCAGTTTGTTGTCATTTCATTTCTGTTTACTCAGTTTTTGTGGAATATTTTTTTACATTTCCATGTTATGAACTCTCACTTTAACATCACTGCAAAGACTTCAGTTGTAAATCTTGCTACTGCTCATTCACCTACTACTTCTGTGGCTTTGGGATCCACACTTTCTGCTGAGGAGTTCTAGGCCAGTGGTTCCCAAACTCTTTTAGTCTGAGGCTCCCTTATTGTGAATAAAAAAGTTTGAGGCTCCCAACCTGTAACTTTAGCATGGTGGTTGAAAAACAGTGCCAAAGTAAAAACAGTAACATCTCTTTATGACATACTGTATCATTTAATTAATTCAACATAATTCTTATTGGTTTATTGTTTATTTTGAATTAAAATTAATTCAGCATCTTTGTTTTTGGCCCATTTTTTTGGTGGTCCTGTCAGAAAAAGTTTCACATCCCCCAGGAGGGCCATGGCACCCACTTTGGGAAACACTGGTCTAGGCCATGGTACATGGCGATTACAAATTCTCATGCAACTTGCTATGTCTCCAGAAACATGGTTGGATATCCCATTCTTGGTTGAATTGGGCCAAGACAATGAATACTTGGACAATCTGTTTCCACCTCCTTTCTTTGTAGTGCAGTCCCATGCTACATTATTGGATTTACCTTATCTTTTGGCTGACTTTTTGGAATGATTTCCCATGTATGTTACCTTTTGTCAATTTTCCCTGTGTCTTTTGATTCTACCCCTCCTTCTTTCATTCTGCACCTTCGTTGGATTATTTAGTTCTCCCCTCTCCTAATATTCGAGTTTATGCTGGTCAATTTGTAGCGCTGTTACATATGGGTGCCAGCATGCTGCATCCTCTATCTTTATCTGAGTCCTGTTCTTTGGCCTATCATAGGTCAGATTTTCTATATTTAGATTATCAGAGTTTGGAGTCTTTGATTCAAGCATGGGGAACTGATCCAGAAACTACTTTAAGATTTTCCACAGTCCAGTTTTCACATCTTCATTTTACACTCACCACTGTCTTCTGCTATCTTTCTTCCATTCACCTCTGAGGCTCTCCACTGTTCCTCATAGGAGTTTTTGGTGGATAATTCCACACTTATCTTTTCCACATTGGCACATTTACCTTCCTCAGTCTTATCCCTGCATATATGAATCCTTTGTTGTTGAGATTTTCTTGACAGGGATGCCCTCTTGTCACACATACATCTTGCTTCCTATTTAAGGGCCTTCTGATTGGCTGCCTTTTGGTGTCATTTGGTATTTTGGGATCTTCCTGATACAATGGAGTCTTGGGTGAAGGCTGCATTTCAACATTCCTCCCCTACCTCCTTTTTTCTATCTTTCCCAACCCTTACCTGATTCAATTCTCATGTCTCACCCCACCTGATTCCTCTTCTCTCCCAGTGCCTTATTCCTGGGTTTCAGTGGTGAGCCACCAAATTGCTCATCCCTGTGTTTTCTGACGTCACTTGTGTTGGTGACTATCCCATGGGTTTTTGCATAGTAGAAGTATGGTTGGCCAGGTTTGTTCATCTGTTACATCCATTCACCAGAGATCCCTGGATTACTTAGTTTCTTTCAGAAGGATATTTCCTTAATTTTTCTTTGCCTCAAGATCCTCCCCTCTTTCATGGGATTCCATTTCTTGCCAACATCTCTCAGATGTGGTTCAATATCTTTTACATAAGGATGCTATTGAATGAGCATGTCCGGGGTTTTGTTCCTGCCTGTTCATGGTTCCCAAAAAAGACTGGATATTGGCATCCTATCACTGACCTATCCATCCTCAACCAATTCATTGACCTCCCTCGGAGTCCTTTCTCGCACTTTGGTGTGTGTTCATTCCGGGTCTCTGAATGATGAAGGGTGACATTTCAGATACATACCTTTATATCCCTATCTCTCATGCCTGTAGACGTTACCTTTGTTTTGTTCATGGTAGTCGAGTTTCCAATTCTGTGCTCTTCCTATTGGTTTGGCATCGGTGCCTTACATCTTCTGTCGTGTGGTCCATCACTACATGGATGACTGGCTACTTTTAACTCCATCCCAACAAGCCTCTCACACTCATACACATTTCCTCCTACAAGCGGCTGCTTGTATAGGATGGTTAGTCAAGCTGGAGAAGCCCTATCTTGACTCCATGCAGTATCTTATCCATTTGGGGGTGTTTTTTAACACCTTTCTCAGCAGGGCCCAGCCTTCTTTTCATTTGAGGTTGATTGAGCTCATGGTTTCCAAAACCAAATTCTCTCCTTCTCTTCCTTCGTTTGAGCTTCTATCTCTTTTGGGCACCTGGGTATCAATGGATGCCCTTATAGCCTGGGGTTGTGCACACATGTATGATCTTCAGTGGGTGTTGCACAGTCAATGGAATCTCATTTGGGATCTTTTGTATTCCATCCTCCTCCTTCCTTTCCAAGCAGACTTTTCTTCAGTGGATCAACAGAGACAACACCTCACCTGGCATTTCTCTGCCTTATTCATGTTCAGTTTTGCACCTGTTCACTGATGCATCTCTTATGGGATGGAAACTTATATGGATTCTCAGGATATTGCAGTTCGTTGGACTTTGGTTGAATCTTCCCTACAAATCAAGCTATTGGAACTTCTTGCAGTTTGTTTTGCTTTGGATCATTTCCGAGTTTTGGTAAGTGGCTGTTTGCTATGATCCATTCCAACAATTTGAATGTTGTCTCTTACATTAATTGAGGAGAGGATACCTGTTCACAATTGCTTTGCTTTTGAATGTTGGATCTCCTTTTTTGTATCCATTCTCAGCAAGTCCGCCTTCTTGCCTGTCATGTCCCAGGTTCTCTGAATCTTGTAGCGGATTGTTTATCTCATCCAGACAAGATTTTACCTATGGAGTGGTCTTTTGCTCCCCAAGTTTATCATTGGGTATGCTCCCAATTTGTACTCCTCTTCTGGATGCATTTGCCACTCACCTCAACACCAAACTGCCCCTCTTATGGTTTATGGTTCCACATATTTTAGCTTTGGTGATAAGAGTCATTTACCTAAATGATTGACTCAAACATCTTTTATTTTAAGCCTGAAAGAACATGGAAGAAAATAATGGATAAGTAGAAGGTGCAAGAGCTAACAAGGTTGTGGAACAGTTAAGCTGATTTGAGTGTAATGGGTTTGAGAGGCTCTTGTCACCTTTGATTAGATGAATCTTATAGTTGATATAGTTTGTCACCCTAAAGCTTTCTTACTTTTTTTTCATAGTGCATCTTTCA